TTGGCCCTCGAGGAGAGAGCTAAAGACAATGGGCAGTTGTGGCTTGCTGAAAGGAAAAGCTTCCTTTTCATTTGAACTATCCTAGAGTGCTTCCTGGCCCTGGTCTTGCATTTTTCTAAGATACTGTGGATGGAATTCCCGGTTAGGGTGAGGTGAGAATAGATGGCTGAGGAAGTCTGCTGCAGCATTCAGATTCTGTCATTCTATTCTGGTTTAATGCTCCAGGCATTATAGATATTTCATACAACTCTAGGTGTTCTCACGTCCTGCTTTAAGTAGATCTAAGTCAATTTCATTGTGCACATTTAAAACCTTAAGTTTAATATTGTTCACTTGTCAAGGTTTTTGTTTATGATCTCATTTGGATATGGTGTGACTTTTCTCTTATTTTACATCTTTTTTAGATTCGACCATCTCTGAAGGAACATCCTCATCTTTTTCTACCTTCTCCATGTCATCCCCTGACTTAGCCACTCCAGAAAGCATCCTTTATCCTTTAGGTCGGCCCTCTGGTGGACCTTTCCTTAGGCCTTCATCCCATGGGCCTTCCTCCTCCTCTGTGCTCTTCAAGGACATGCAGGTCAGGGTTAACCACCCCTTTGCTCCTTGCCCAGCCTCTTCAGATGAAGATGACAGTGACGCCATCAACCTGTTAGACATCCACCCTGATAATTCCACTTCTGCAGACCATCGAACTCTCAGTGCTGCGAGGGGCAACTGGATCACATTCCCCATTCAGGATATGCAGTGCCTAACCTCGGCGTCGGATCCCACTTCCCTTGCCAGCAAACGACTCCCTGAGACAACTGGTACCAACACACCCATCATGGCAGAATTGGTAGAGATCAAAAACGCTCTTCGGAGATTGCATGGAGATCTGAGTGCCGTGGTCCAAGAGCTTCGCATCGTCAACAGCCATCTGGTGAGCATGGAGGCTAGGAGCAGTCCGCAAGTCCCGCAGCCAGTCGGCAAGCCTCTCCCACCCGGAGCTTCCCCATCTACGTGTGGCCCGAGTCGTTCTGACCTTCCAAAGGACGATGGTCATGCCTCCCCCTCTGCCTCCCGCAAGGTGCTAGAGGGTGGACTTTGCGGATTTCTGGTCCCAGCAGCAGGATCAGGGTGGCAGTTTCTCTTTTTCTTTTACATCTATTAGCAAATATTTCTCCAATCAGTAAGTAAATTTGGGTGGCAGTAGGAGGGTGTGTGTCTTTCTTTTGTTAAGGAAGAGAAAAGATTTTGTTTGATGCGCATTTCCAGGTTTAGATATGAACACATTGTAAACCCAAGGGAATTTTATCTTTGATGTGCTGCTTTATTTCAGAATGAACAAAGCTGTTGTAAAAGCCCTCTCTCCCAACTGGCTCCTTCTCTTGTCCAGTTCATAGACAAGGGCCATGCCAGCCCGTTTGTATTCAGTTACATGTTAATACACCTTAGCCTCAGGGTAGGAGGAGTTTGGTCCACCTGGACCGTTAAACTCATGCTGTTCTCGAGTCTGCGAATGATAAGCGGGCTTGTGGCTCCCTCTCTATGTGTGTGGTCAGCTAGGACTTAAATAGAAACAAGGCCCCTCTATGCCCCTACAGGCCCCTGCGTAGCTGTTCATTACAGCTTCTTATTGTTCCTTTAAATTAAAATATAACCAGAAACATGCTGGCTCATCTCTTCTGTTGCCAGAGGAAATAAATTGGCTGTCTTCACCTTATTTGTTGTCTTTTCTTGGTGACTAGGCTGGCCTTTCAAACGCAGACCTGACCTGTTGACTCAAGGGCAAAATGGCCCTTTGGTGATTTTTCTGGCCCCTTGCCAGTCTTCTGGGCTTTTACTACTTTCTAAGCCTGGCCGCCAGGTTTAAGAGGAAAGAGATCTAGGAATGGCGGCAAAGAGCCCATGACACTGAAAAGTCCATTCCCTAAGACAAGGGAGGGAAATCTGTGACCAGGAGGCCACATGTGGCCCTCTAGCTCCTTGGCTGTGGCCTCTTGACTGACTCCAAGTTTTATGGAACAAAGGGCCGCACCCAAGGACCTAGAGGGCCACATGTGGCCTCCAGGTCACAGGTTCCCCGCCCCTGCCGGTTAAGAAGGTTAAACTAAGGATTGAATCAGGTTTTTCCAATAACATTTAAATTGCATGCATTATTTTTGTCACATTTAGTTCTAGTAGTCAAGAGATGCCTATAAATTTAAAATTTTTTTTAAACTTTCCATCAGCTTGTCACATTTTATTTAACGAACCACTCGAGAAAGGTACAATAAATGAAATCCCCATTCTCTTTCATTCATCTGGTTTACTAGCCTTACATTGATGGTTATTTCAAGTTATTTCAAATCTTCTTATTTAAGTTCATCAACCTTGAAAGAAAGTTTGATTTTTAGGTAACTCTCATTGCAGATTTAATCACAATAACAATTATTATCAGTATGGACCTGTGATTTCCTCCCAGTGTGGAAACTCCCCACTCTGTTACAGATTGACAACTCCTCCATAACTTAAGAGTCTTAATAACTTGGGATGCTATGAGATCAGCTCATTTGCCCACAGTCACACATGCGTGTGTCAAGAAGGACTTGAACCCAGGTCTTCCTAACTCTTAGGTCAGCCCTCTCTCCCCTATGCCCATGTTGCCTCACCACTGTGGAATATACGCTGATAGACTGGAAGTTGCCTTTGGTGGCTCATTATAATTAGGAGTCCTTTTTTAAAAATCCCTCAGGTACAGTGCGGAGCACGTGGCGGCCTCTCAAAAAGTGGTTGTTGAATGAATGAATAAATGAATGAAAGGGAATGGAATATAGGATTCCTATCTGTGGTTCTGATTTTAAAGTAACCAATGTAACATGATTCATTCGAGGCTAATTAAACTGAGATGACTGATGACACAGTGCTCCACCAACCACCCCCCAAAAAAAGGCATTTCCACAGGAACTAAGAAGCAGGGATTTCGATCAGGTTGAGATTCTGCAGGATTTCTTAGGGAGCCTGGGGAAGGGACCTTCAAATACATGGATAATTTAGGGGATAGGAGACTATATCCATGTGGTGCCATTAAGAGCCTCCCTAAAAAAAAAAAATCTGTGGATATTTATTTATTTATTGGCGAGTCATTCACCTTCTCTCTCCCGCCCTACACCCATCCTATGTCCCCGGAAGCAAAGCGTCAGGTCGCCAGGAGCTTGTGACCAAGGAGGCAAAAATTAGGCCCTCTGGGAAATTGCCCCCAACATACCACTTCAAATTCCAAGTAGGTTTTACGTAGCCCATAGCCTACAATTGATTAATTAACGTAATTAACAAACACCCTCCTTTGGGTTGAAGAGGTCTAGAAGTTTGGGGGTGCTGCTGGGAACCCCCAAGATTGCGATGCTGGGCCCTGCCTGAATGAATTCAACTCAAATCTTCTTCTAGCCAGAGGAAAAGTTTATTAGTGATAAAACACATAGGCCAGGTGATGCCCGTAAGGAGGAGCAGGCATGAGATTCTCAGCATCTGAATGGGGCCGGGGTGGATCTTATATAGTGACTTTTTTACTAAAGTAACTTTGGGTGGCCAGAGGAGGGGCCTGGGAAAAGGGTAAGATCAAAAGGGTGGGGCTAGGGCTTTCAAAGGGAGATAAGGGGAGTCGATAAGGAACCCTTTGAGACGGCCCATAGACAAAAGGGAGCCAGATTCTTTTTAGGGCAAGGGGCAAAGGCGCGTCTGAGTAAGATTAAAAGGTAGGCTAAGGCTTCAAAGGGAGATGAGGGGCTGGGGCCTGTAGACAAACAGGACTCAGCTTCCCTTTGGGGCAAGAGGCTAAGATCTTGGCTTGGGGCCCCCATCAGGCTTCCCATTTTGCCTCAGCGAGCTTGGTGAGCTGAAGAGGGGACTGTATCCTGATTCAATCTGAGGTCCTTTTGTAAAAGGGAAAAAACTTCAGGAGAATAGTTGCATTTCTCCTCGGCACTAAGGGCTGCCTACTTCGAGAAAGGCCTGTTTTCGGAAATGAGTTTTCTCTTGCCTGGTTTCCTAGTTCTTACGAGAGCACGTCACCACCAAAGATTCCAGGAAACCGATAGATCAGAAATGTGCAGTTTCGTTTTCAGCCTGCCTTCAGGCGATGGTAGAAAACATCAGGATTCTGAGGTGCCAATGGGTGGCCAAAGAGAGAGGCCTAGCAGCACATAAAGGGATTGTTTTGAAAAGGAAGTACGGTAGAAAGAGTAGGATTCGAGGTGTCCCACAATCCACTTAGTTAAGAAATTGCTCAAATAGATTTGAAAAACAGACCACTGAAGGCTTTGGGGACATATCTTCCCACCAACTGCTTTCAATTTGACTGGGCTGCCCCTGGCTAGGCTTTTCCTTTTTTTCTTTTAACTACAGTACTTTTGTGGGTCTTCATTTTATCAAAAGAATATTGAGAACAGACTGTTGAATTAATAAAATAAAATTAAGGTTGGTTTGACTGTAACTTTTCCACCGGGTTGTACCTTATTTTTAAGAGAAGCATTCTGAAATGCGATGAAAGAATTTCAGTATGTAGAATGGAAGCTTTTCTTTCTTCCAGGTTCTAAGTGATTTGAGGAGGCCAAGCATATTATTGCTATACCAGAAAATATTCCCCATCTTTTATCAGCAGGCAGACTTAGGAAAAGAGCAAATTGGCTCAGAAGGAACTGCATTTCCAAGATGATCTTGTTTGGTTATCTTGAATTCTGTTTTCTCACTGAGGATGCCAAAAGTTTTCAGCAATATGGTAATTATTGTAAAATGATGGCTGCAGGCAGTCATAGCTATTCGAATAGAGGAAGAAAACCACGGTCTACATCATGGCAATATGCTTTGTGTAGTTGGTTATGTTGGGGGTCAGCCGTGGTTCCCTGGATCCCTGGTGTATCTCTTCATTGCCAGGACCTTGGGCCAGCCAGGGTTCTATGTGTCTGCACCAGTCATAGAAGGGCCTTTGTCTACTGCCATGAGGTGCAGCCTCTGAGAGTTCTCTAAATTTGTGCTTATTAAAAGATCTTAGCACATCCAAGAGTGTGAAGACATCCCTGGCAAAAAGAGGACTGTAACAATTTATCAGCTTGGTAAGCTAAACAAGTAATGTTTTGATGTGCTAACAGTCTCTAAAGACAGTAGTGATCAGTTAACTTCCCAAAAGTATTGCTCCAAATGGTTGGTAGGAATGTAGTGAGTTTTCTGGTTTGCAGATTCTTCACGGACATTGCTTTTTGCACTAGTAGATGTGCGCACGTGTCTGTACCAGTACCTACAACTACATCTGTGTATAGGGAGAGTGTATCTGTATATGCATATACAAATGTGACTTTACAAGCCTTAAATTTCCAATGATCACATACCAGCTGGGTGGCCTTTGGGGAGACAGGATAGAGGGAAAGAGGAAGAAGAAAGAGCTGAGTCAAAAACAACTGTCCTTTATTTATTGAACACCTACTATGTGTAAGTGTCTGAGAAATGCTCTCTTCAAGGTCTCCAGAGACCTCTTAATGGCCAAAGCCAATGGCTTTTTCTCAGTCCTTCTCCTCTCTGACCTTTCTGTAGCATATGATGGAATTTGCCAAGTATGAATGTTCCCTGAGGCTCTGTCTTCAGGTCTTCTCCCTTCTCTCTGTGTTCTTCCCCTAAAAGAGTGATAGTAAGCCTTGAAGTGCTGCATGAATATGTATTATTGTAATAAGTGACATGAATAGAGGGATTCAAGATCTGGAAAGCATTTTACATCCATTAGCATATGTAAACACTTAGAGTTACTTTCGTGTATCATTGTATGGAATAGCAGCAATTCTTCCCATCCTGGCCACCGCCATCTTGGAATACATTCCAGTTTGTCAACATCCTCCCTAAAAGATGACACCCGGAACTGAATCTGGTACTTCCTCCAGATGTGACCTGAAAAGGCTAGAGTTCAATGGAACTCTTACCCCCTGAGTCAGGACACTGTACTTCTATTAATGAACCCTGAGATAACTCATTAAGCTTGGGGTTCAATTATTACCTTAAGTTTTTTTAATATCATCCAACCACATCTCAGGGCAACTAGGTGGCGCCATAGTGCACAGAGCGCCAGGGCATGCTGGGCCTGAAGCTGGGAAGACTCATCTTCCCAAGTTCAAATCTGGCCTCAGACACTCACTAGCTGGGTGACCCTGGGCAAGTCACTGAACCCCGTTTGCCTCAGTTTCCTTATCTGTAAAATGAGCTAGAGAAAGAAATGGCAAACCACTCTAGTATCTTTGCCAAGAAAACCCCAAATGGGGTCACGGAGAATAGGATATGACTGAAACAAGCAAACAACGATAACAGCACATTTCTCCTATCACGTGTTCATCTATTGTGTTATGAGTACTCTCCCAACTAGAACATAAGCTCCTTGAGGTCAGGGCTCTATCTTATGAATCTTTGGACACCTCCTCTCCCAGCTTGAGTGTACAGGTGGACACACACACACACACACACACACACACACACACACCACACTGTCACCTTCAGATAACAGGTGCCTAACAGTCTAGACAGGCCCAGTGATTCCCATTTGAGAGAAGGCCGCAGAGGCTGAGTGACTTGCTTGAGGTCACGCAACGAGTAGGGGCACCCCCAGGACTAGGACATAGGATTCCTCATGTCCATTCTTCTCACATTCTAATCACCCTTACCTATCAAGGGCTTTTTCTTCAAGGACTAGTTCAGATACGCTTCCTCCATGAAGCCTTTTCTGGCTCCCCAAGCGGAAAGCGATCTTTATTTCTTCAAATTTTCTGGTAGCATTTTATCTGCACCTCCCCTTTCCTTCTGTCACATTCATGTCCCTCTCCCTCCTAAGTCACGTGTAAGCTCCTTGAGGGCAGGGACTGTCTTTTCTGTACTTATATCCCCAGCACTTAGCAAGGTGCCTGGCACATAATAGACACTTAATGTTTATCGACTATAACTATGACAAACAGTAGAGCAAGGATGCCTCTACACTGGTGCAAAGTATCTTCCCTTGGAGTTCCCTGTACCAATGAATCATAGGTCTACCTCAGAATTCATAGTACCTGACATTCTTTTTAGGGTCTGGATCTGTAATTCATCTAGTGCCCATGCAACTTGACAAGCATTTATTAAGCACTTACTCTATGCTGGTGATACAAAGACAAAAGTCAAACAGTCCCTGTCCTCAAGAATCTTAAATTCTGTCAGGGGAAAATAACCCCTGGCTATATATGCAAATACAAATATGCAAAAGTAGTTTCTGGTGGGAGAGCTCAGGTCTGATATGAAGGACCCTTTGTTAACAATAGAAAAAAGGTCTGAGAGGCCACAGGGAGAACTAGAGGGGGCTGGAATGTCAGCGATGGGACTGAAGCAGACAGGTGTGAAGAAGCAGGGAGTGCTGACAGGCCTGGGCAGGGGGTTAGGGGGCAGGCGATTGTCACACCCTTCACAGTACCAAAGATAGTGTGGATTTGCTTACCATCCCTGCCCAAGAGGATACAGCAGGGCAGACATCCAGGCTTTGGTTTTGACCAGTCCTGTGTCCATGCTGGTTTTAGAGGGTGTACGGCCTGGTGTCCTAATAGCCTCAGC